AGTCAATGTCTCCAGTCTCCCTTGGGATCTGGTTGAAGCTCTGCTGGAGGTAGGATTTAAAGATCTTCTGGCCACCTTACTCCACTATGCATGCCATGCAATAAAAATATTTTAAAAATATATATTGTTCATATTAAAATTTGCAATAAATACTTGCCAGTATGCCAGTATTTTAAGCATTGAGGTGGCAGAGTTTGCTAATTGCTTGGATATATATTATAAAATCATTAAGTGGACAAAATAAAAAGGTCATTTCCACTCTCAGCTGAGGCCAAAAATTCAACTGGAATTGATCAAGTCTTGCTGCCCAGTATGGGACAGTCTGAGAGACAGTGAATGACCTAGACAGACACACATATGCACGCGGTCATCATTTACATGGTCCTTACATAGGCTTGCATTCAATTCCAGGAGACTTACCCTAACCTTAACCAGAACCACTACTTGCCTATCCTAAACCCTTATCTAAAACGTTAACCAAAGCTGACACTTGCTCCAACCTTACACCCTGTCATTTTCATAAAATATGACAAATTAGTTGTGGGTGTCATGTTTCAGCCATGTTCACTTCCTGCAAATATGCTCTTATTCTTTACTGCTTCCTGTCCCCAGCTCACCCTGTCAGGATTGGTGTGTATAGATGCCAAACAGAGGTTGTGGTGAACTCAATTATAAAACCAGACGAACCGAGGTAGAGACAAGTTCTTTACTTGTTGTAACCAAAACAACTAACACAAAGTCCAGAATCACAATCAGGTCGATAAGACAGTCCAGGGTCAGCGCCGGTAAACAGGTATAGCCAGGAGATCCAAACTCGAGGCCAAGGGGGAATAAATCAGAAGGTCGGTACACTGCAGGTGATCAGAATTTGGGAGGGCATAGGCAAAACACGGTGGTCCAAAAACAGTAATCCAAAGTCAGGCAAGGTATAAATGCTGGAGAGTCAAAGCTGGGGTCTAGAAGAATCTGGCAGCGTCCTGGTGGGAGGACGCTGCCTAAATAGAAGTAAAAACAGGTGCAAACAATAAGGAGCAGGTGAACTAATGTTGATTAAGCAAAAGGGCCAAAACTGAGGTGAAACAAAACAGGAAGTAATGTGAAAATAAAAGCATGACAGGAAGCAAGAGGGGCAGGAGCGTGACACACCCTGCATTCCGGGAACTTCACGTCATCATTCAGATTAGTTTCACCTGCTACTTCATCAGTCACACCTGTTCACCACAGTATATAGCAGCTCCTCACTCTGTGGGGAGCTGCCAGATTGTTCTATGCCTTGACTAGACTTTCCAGGGTTCTTTCTGCCTGATCATCTGAATACTGACACCCTGCCTGTGCTATTGACCCGTGATTCTGCCTCACCCTTCTTATTGGACTGCTGTCTTGGTAACGACACCTTGCCTGCATTAACGACTAGAGATTCTGCCTTTCCTTCCCTACTGCCCTGCTGGAGATATTGACCGTGGACCAAACTAAGTACTGCTCTCTGCCTAAGCCATTCAGACTGGCACTGTGTATATGTGACTCTGTTCCTGAGGACATTATTAAAACCTGTTGCACTATTCCAACTTATTGGCTCTTTAATCGGGTTCACACCTCCACAGGAGCTGTACTTTCATCTCCCTGATAGTGGGTACCCACAAGTGATTTCTGGTCCCAGCAAAACAGTGTGCCACCAGTTTTCTGTGCCCACACGTATATATAAAGGCCACATGATATACTGTATATAATAAATATATTATACTGTATAATATCAGTCTAAATGTTTTTTTCTTTTGAATTGTCCAATTATTTAAATAAATTCTAAGTAGTTTTTTCATTTGACAACATTGTTTATTGAGACTTTCATGCCACTAAAGCCCCCTTTGAACTGATAGATATGATTTTATGTAGTAATCAATAAACCATGTCAGGAGATAAACTGTCCAAACTGTATGGATCAATGTTTGATCACAGCAGCTACTCTGCAGGTTATCCTGTGCCTCGGTAAACGCTTCCATGGGGCTATTCAGAACATAATCGAACACAGCTCTGATGAGCAAGTGTTGTCCATTTTGGGCAGTATAGTCCCTCAGATTATTGATGAGTGTCTTAACATCAGAACAGAGGCATTCAGTGCCACATCAGACCCGCTGGCGAACTGGACCGCACAGGAGGTTACAGACATTGTAAACAGGGTGCTCTCTGGAAAAGACACGACGAAGCCCGTGAAAGAATTTTTTTTTTTTTATTCAACACGAAGAATACAGTACTGTCATCCAAAGATACAAATATAAAACAGTGTATTCAAAATACATTCACCGAACCAGAGTAGAAACAAATAAAAGAAAGACAAAGAACACAAAAAGGCTGGGGGGTATTATCTAACCAGACATTTTAAATAAAGTGCATACATTAATTGTTTTGATGGCCTTTGTATTATCTCTCAAAATATATTGAAGAAATGTATTGTTTGAACTCCTTTAAAAAGACCAAAAATAGAGGTTTTCTCTTTGCGAATTTACATTTGTGAATATGAAATTTAGCCAATAAAATTAGCAAGTTACAAACATATACATGAGATGAGAATCGTGTTTCTAAGCAACCAAACAGAACATTCTTCCAGTACAGATTAAAATCCTTATCAATATTTATATGTATAAAGTTACAAAAGTCAGACCAAAATGTTTTTATAAAACGACAATACCAAAATAAATGAACAGCAGTCTCAGGGGAATTTCCACAGAAAGTATACATAGGGTCAATATCTACTCTAAACCTCTTACAATAGACTTTCACTGGATGAACTCTGTGAATAAGCTTAAAAGAAACCTCTTTTACCTTGTTAGTTACTAAGTAAAGATTAGGTAAAAGCCAGACCTTTTCCCACTTCAGATCATCCACAAACTGATTCCAATACAAAATAGCCCCATGTTTCATGGTAATCTCTTTTTGGAACAGCGATCTTATGGATTTGTTTTTCTTACGATGGTGAGAGGAAAAACAGATTTTCCCTAGAGAGGAATGAACTGGAGTAAGTGTAGGAACAAATTGGTTATCAATCCTTGGCTGATATTTAAACAACATGCATATACCGGAAGAGATAGCACCAAATACTTTTATATAATCTCTAGGTGTTATAGGAATCTTATATCATTGTAAGAATTCCTCATAAGTAAACAACAGGCCATCATCATTAAACAGCTGATCGACCAGAAGAATATTATTTTGAAACCAGTATTCAATAAAAATGGACCTGTGTTTGTACAAAATGTCCCCATTGTTCCATATGTAATATGTGTGTGGTGAAAAGTTATGCTTGTAGATGAGCGACCATGATAAAAAGGCCTGACGATGAAAAAAAGAGAGTTTCAATGGGATCTTGTCAACATTGTAATTGCATACAAGAAAGAAATTTAAACCACCGAGCTCATACAGAATATGATTAGGAATTATATTCTAAACAGATGTTGGGTTTTGAGATAACTGTCTTATCCAATTGACCTTAAAAGTATTATTTAGAGTGGAGAAGTCTAAAAAGTTTAATCCACCACTTTCATATGTGTTCATAATAACAGCTTTTTTAATATGATGTACTTTATTTTTCCACAAAAAATTACCAAGCATCTGATCTGATGATTTCTTTACAAATTTTTTTGTCAAGATCTAGAGCTAACGCAGCATAAGTTAAACGAGAGATTCCTTCTGCCTTTGTGATTAAAGTTCTACCTCTCAGGGAGAGATCTCTTAATAGCCATTGATTAAATTTCTTTTTAGTTTTTTCAATTATGGGGGAGAAGTTTAAATAGCATCTTGAATGTTGGTTTTTGGTGATTAGAATGCCCAAATAGGAAATTTCATCTTTAACCGGAATACTATAAAGAATGGAAGTATTACATTCTTTTATTGCCATCAGTTCACATTTTTTAATATTAAGATAAAGACCGGATGCCCTTGAGAATTATGCAACTGTTTCAATAGCAATAGGTATCTGACTTTCTTCCTTTAGGAAGAGAGTCGTATCATCTGCTAGCTGAGTGATAACTAATTCTCTATTCGTGATGGAGATGCCTTTAATATCACTAGAATGAATATGATAAGCAAGAAGTTGGGCAACCAGCAAAAACAAATATGGAGAGGCAGGGCATCCTTGTCGAATTCCCCGATGTATATTAAACCTAGGAGCCCGTGAAAGCAAAATTTGAGCCATGATTCGTCACGTTTTACAAATGTTAAAGGCCAAACTGCAGTCTGTGTCCACCAGTGACGTGCGGTAAAGAAAAAAAGTTAACCATAAAATATAATAAATGTTAATATTTGTCGGCTGGTGTGTGTTGTAGGCCCTTTTGCCGTTCAAATCCGATG